GTAGTAAGGGTTTCCTACCGCGAAACCTTCCAGAGAAGAATGAGCAAAATAAGAATGAGCCAAATAAGGATAAGCAGAATAAGGATAAGGGTGCAGGTAACATGGGGAGCAAGGACTCTACACTGACTGTGGGTAATCTAGTAACTAGCAAAAGGCATGTTTTACTTCAAACTGCTCGTGCAGTGGCAACTAATGAAGATGGTTCAAAAACTTGTCCAGTACGTATTCTCTTCGATAGTGGTAGCCAGCGGTCATACCTCACTGATGATTTAAAACGAAAATTGAATCTGAATCCAATCAAAACTGAGACGTTGTATTTAAATACATTTGGCGATTCCAAACACGAAAGAAAATCCTGCCAGTTGTTTAATCTGAACTTACGTGATCGTGATAATGAGATAACCCTGATTTGGGCCCTCAATTTCCCTGTTATTTGTTCGCCCTTACCATCTACGGTGGACATTTTTGATTATCAGCATATTCGTGGTCTAGATTTAGCCGATAGTAGTGAGATCCAAGACGACCATCATAGTGACACTGTTGATGTCCTGATAGGGTCGGATCACTATTGGAGCTTTATGTATGGTGAAACTATCCGTGGTGATTCAGGGCCTGTCGCAGTGAGCAGTAAATTTGGTTGGGTTTTATCTGGGCAGACTGAGTTAACCAATGAACGGGGTGTGAGACGAAAGGAGTCATCAGCAAATTTAGTCATTTCTTCCTGTACCGAAGATTTCCTCAACGACAACGTGCCGCAAAATGATCAACTTGTAGACTGTTTGAAACGGTTTTGGGAAACTGAGGCAATCGGAATTGCGGACAGTGATGATCTTAAGACTAACCCTGTCCCAAACAATTTTATCGAAGATATTGCGTTTGATGGTCAAAATTATGAAGTAGGTTTGCCATGGAAGGACAGTTCTTTTCCTGTCTCTAATGGCTACGACACATGTTCAAAACGCCTCCAATCTCTACATCGAAAACTACAAGCAGATCCTGTCCTCCTGAATGAGTATAACAAGATTATTTGTGACCAACTCGAAGCGGGCATTATCGAAAGGGTACCTGAAACAAGCGACTCCAGCAACGAAGAAACACGCATCAATTTCTTACCCCATCACCCAGTTATCAGAAGGGATAAAGATACCACCAAAGTTTGTGTAGTCTACGATGGCTCGGCAAAGGGCTCGAATGATGAAAGATCGCTTAATGATTGTCTTCAAACCGGACCGAACTTTACACCACATGTGTTCGATATTTTAGTTAAATTTCGTTGGAACGCTATTGGCATCACTGCAGATATCGAGAAGGCGTTTTTGATGATAACGATTAAGGAAGTCGATAGAGATGCACTTCGTTTTTTATGGTTTGATGATCCCAATGAATGTCATCCCAATTTAACTATGTTTTGTTTCCGACGATTAGTATTTGGTCTTCGACCCTCGCCATCTATACTTGATTTCACTATTAAGCATCACCTTGCAAAATATTCCCAGTCCGAAACAAAGTTGGTTGAAGTATTAGAAAATTCATTTTACGTGGACGATCTTATCACTGGTGAAGATAGCGTCGAAGAATCATTCCAAATTTACAAGGGGTCAAAACAAATTATGGCCACGGGGGGTTTCAATCTTCGAAAGTGGCATTCGAATTCAGACGAACTTCTCGCAAAAATTGAGTCCAACGAACTTGGTAGTGAGAAACCACCCGACCGTAGCCTTATGCAATCTAATTGCCAAACCTTCAAAGAGGACGAGTCTTACGCTAAGTCGACGACCGGACACAATACGATCGATACAGCTGATAATACTGTAAAGGTGTTAGGTGCCAACTGGAATACAAAGTCGGATGAAATATTCTTCAATTTCGAAAGGTGGAAGGAAGAAGCAACGTCACTCCCAATGACTAAACGATCTTTACTTGTGCTCACAGCGAAGATATTTGATCCTCTTGGATATCTTGCGCCTTTGACAATACTGATGAAGGTTTTATTCCAAGTTTTGTGTACGAACAAAGTTGATTGGGACGAAGAACTAACCGGAGATTTACTCAAGAAATTCCAAGCTGTTATTCGAGATATATCACTTCTTCATTCCGTGCGTATTCCCAGATGTTATTTTGACCCTAGATCAAAGCCAATTAATGTCGAGCTTCATGGTTTCAGCGATGCTTCGATTCATGCCTATTCAGCTGTAGTCTATATGAGATCAGTATATGAAAATGGCACAATTCAAGTTCGGTTGGTAGCATCGAAGACCCGAGTTGCCCCGTTGAAACGACAAAGCATTCCTCGTCTCGAGCTTCTCGGAGCCCTCATATTGGCACGACTTTGTGACAAAATTATTAAGGTGCTTGGAGAACTTGTTTGTACCTATTGGGTTGATTCAATGACTGCTCTTTGTTGGATTCGCAATGATAAACTTTGGAAACAATACGTTCAACACATAATAATAATTATTTAAGTTGTAATTTAAGTTGCACGTCCGCTTGGCAGTACTGTACCGGGTAGTTAATCCGGCTGATTTACCCTCTCGAGGACTTGATGCAAAGGAACTAGCTAGTAACGAGGTTTGGTGGAATGGTCCACAATTTCTACGCCAACCATCGAGTGAGTGGCCATCAGAGGATCAAACGATAGAATGTAATGAGGATGCTAAAAACGAAGAAGTAAAGGCCCCACCAAAAATTACGCACGTTTTACTCAACCATGATCCCACGCAAGCTACAGCGAGAATCGACAAGGTAATGACCATTGAACGGTACGGTAGTTTCCAAAGGTTGTTGAGGGTTACGGTTATTGTACTGCGTTTTATCAAGCTATTAAAGTCGGAGATATCGCGAGGACCGCAGGAAAACCGTAACGAAGATGTTAAAGACTTGAATACGGCGGAAGTGTTATGGATACGTGCTACTCAAATATCATGTTTTCCCGAAGAAATAAAGTTACTGAGCGATGCCAGAAAGGACACCACTCGCTCCAGGGATTCAGCATCGAAAATTATCCAGTTTGGTCTGTACTTGGATGAGGCTGGTGTACTACGCTCTCGTGGACGATTGAACGAGTCTTCTCTCCCATTAGATAGCAAGAATCCGATATTCCTTCCCAACAAACACCCATTTGTTAATCTGTTGATTCTGCATATGCACAACGAAATCAAACACAGTGGAGTTCGTGACACTTTAACAACTATAAGAGAGCGGTTTTGGATTTTACGAGGACGAGAGGTTGTTAAGAAATTAATTAGGCACTGTGTTGTTTGTCGAAAGTACGGTGGAAAACCGTTCAAGCCCCAGCCAACTCCAGATTTGCCAGACTTCCGAGTTTCGAGCGACCCTCCCTTCACTCATATTGGGTTGGATTTCGCGGGTCCGTTTTTCATCAAATCGATGTTTGAAACCAAACCAACAGAAAACGGCGAGTCTAACCCCAACGTTAAAGCCTACATTCTCTTGATCACGTGCGCGTCGACCAGGTCAGTTCACATTGAATTAACTTTGGGTCTCGGTGTACAAGCATTCCTACTTGCATTCCGGCGGTATGTCAGTCGACGAGGGTTACCAGCCACGATAACGTCTGACAATGCTAAGACTTTTAAGTCAGCAAAAAGGGACATAGAACGAATTATTAGATCTGAAGAAGTACGGCAATACTTGGTAGAAAGACGAGTCAAGTGGAATTTTATCGTTGAGCGTGCTCCATGGTGGGGAGGATTCTGGGAACGATTAGTTGCCAGCGTTAAAAGGCCACTAAAACGTATTGTTGGGAGATCTACCTTAACCTACGACGACGAACTACAAACCATTTTAGTTGAAATCGAGGCATTAATCAACGCTAGACCTCTTACCTATGTCTATGATGGCCAAGAATGTAACTACGAGCCTTTAACACCCTCTCACCTGATTTACGGTAGGCGTATTACGAGTACCCCAAACAGTTCCCATCACGAAGTTGTTAGTACTAATCGATCCTTGACAAGAAGAGCGCGTCGTCATAAGCAAGTGTTGGATCAATTTACGAAACAGTGGCGACGAGAATATCTCACCGGGTTGCGTGAACAGTCGTTAGCGAAGTCGCACAAAGGAAACTCAGGTTCAACGATTTCCCAAGGAGAGATCGTCATCGTCAAAAACGAAACAACGCCGAGAGCATTTTGGAAAATGGCTCGTGTAGAAAAACTACTTCCAGGAAGGGATGGAAACGTTCGAGCAGCAGAAATTAAGTTAGGGAGTAAATTCGTTACAAGAAGACCAATTGAACAACTCGTACCCATTGAAGTGAAATCTACGTTAGCAGATTTAGAAACCGGTCAGGAAGTAGAAAAGGAATGTATTCAAGATGATGATAATTTAGATGTACGAAGTCGAAGAACCGCTGCTGTTCTGGGTGAAAGAAGACGACGAGAAGAGAACATCTTGTAACATTTAAAAAAAATTGTAGTTTAAGTGTATTGATATTTGAACAGTTTGTGTGTTTATCACTTTTCAGTGACTAAACAGTGGGGAGTGTCATAAACATTTGGAATTACTCCAGACAATTAAATAGTTCAGTGGTTAGTGTTTCCATATAAGGAAAAGGGTTAAGCACATGTATTATTGTATTTTTGTGCCTTGAAAATATATTGTTGTTTTTGTGTTTGCGAGTGGTTTTAGAGCGAAAATGTAGGTCAAAATCGAATCTCTATTACAGTACATAAGTACACAACCTATATCATCCAGCCATTCGCCAAGGACTTGCCCACCTTGAAAATGGTGAATTGAACAGTTGTCCATTATAATATGGTCACCATATTCGAGTATGGGTTTGCCATCAGGCTGGAAATTTCGCGATGCTTCACCAAAAAACTCGAGAAATTTTACTGTGTTGCTTGCCCCGCGCGTTGTGTTGGCGTACATTATACTGTCTGCTCCTGACAATAGGTTGAGCGTAATATTTGGTGTCTGTGAGTTTCGCTGAATCTCAACACACGGTTTTCCAACCAACGAGTGGCCATATTTAGGGTTCCCTACATCAGGGAGTTTTACGCCTGCTTCGTCAAAAAATTTAAGGCGAAAAGGGTCTACTGTTGAAACGTAATTTAAATATTCCTGACAATAAGCGATATTTTCTGGAGTGAATTTTTCTGCGGCAGGTCGACACATTACTTTCCTCGACCATTTCCCATCGTGCATAAAGTTCCTCACTGCCCTGTTTATCGCTTCTCGGCTTGTCCCTTCGGGAATAACACAGTGGCGTTTAACTTCCTTTAGCAAATCGCCTGATGACATGGATGGTTTATCAGTCTTGAGGAATTCTATGAAGTCTACGTCTTCAGGTTTTAAATGTTTGACACCAGATGCACATGATTTTTTTGGCTTTAGTTGCCCAGATTTACAAAATTGCATCCAAACCTTTTTCATAGTCTTAGGAGATAGTTTGAACTTAGCAGCAACTGCACTGTACTGTTCAAAAAAGCCTGTCGCAGTATCGCCACCCATATCTACTATTTCATTGATTACAAGGGAGACCATATCCTCGCTTAATGCTTTTCCCCGCACATAATTTCTCCCATATTTATTTACATCTCCCATTTTTTCGCTACGAAATCTACAAATACTACAATCGCAATAATACAATAACAATGCAAGTTTGTGGGTGGGTCGCTAACGCTTTGTGGGCGTGGCGGTCGTGCGAAATTTTAGTGGCTCGCACACTTCGGTGACATCCGTAATAATTAAATGTAAAGGTCTGCATGATTTTGAAAAAAGAATGACTATTAGCATATTTTTTTGGGGGGGGCTGCAGCCCCTGGATAGAGTTTAAATCAGACAGAACAGGATCGGTAATTCAACAGCCAATTTGCTACAGCGCATGAACAACACGATTGAGTAAAGGTTACAATCATTATTGTGTTAAATGATGACTGCAAATGAAATGCAATTCTAAAGAACATTCTTGTTTACTGATATTTTTGTGTGGTATTTTCAACATTTTTAAGATTGTGCAATATGCAAAAAATATAGGGGGAAGGCTCAGCCCCCCTGAGCCCCCTCCACTACACCACTGCTTTCTCAACTACATTTATATTGTCACTTCCTCCTTCTCCACTAGACATTTCCTAGTTAAAATTTAAAGGGAAACAATAAAATTGACAATCGGCTATTTCCCAAAGTCCTGGGTCTAGTCTTGTTTGGAGGGACAAGAAATATAGCAGCACACATTTAAATTAAATGTTCAATATAAAAAGAAGATATTTCACCTTTGGATGTGTACGAATTAAGTTGATATTTGATAGTAGATACTTCAAATCCTTCAATATTTGATGCCTGTCACCATATATTATTCTCTTCTGATTTAATATTATTGATTTTATAAATAGTAATCTGAAAAAGCAATATTTACACCAAAACATATTTACCTGTTCAGATGGGTTTCTTAATTGAAGACAAACCTGCCTCAAATATTATACCTCAATTTCAAATTGTCCAATCAGGAAGCTTAGTTTGTGGCATGTGAGCATGAAATTAATCATGATATCACACCTTACAATGTTCCCCGGGGAACATGGGGTCGAACATTGTCAAATATTCGCGTAGTCCACACAGGACAACACGCATGACAACAAGATGGCCGACAAAACATAAACAGTATTAATGAGTGATGAATAATTCAATTTTAAACCTACAACCTGGGTCTTTTTCAAAATTTTGAAGCAAATTTTGAAAAATGTTGTCATTAATATTCCAAACGATATGCGATTAGACAGAAAAGCGACAATACTTGCGTTAAATCCGAAAATAAAACATCGTATTCATGAAGGTATGTGTCAACTTTTTAATTCTCAACTTGGAGGCTTTCAATTTTCAGTATAATATATCATTTATAGACCCTCCGCTCAGGGGATTCGGCGAAATATTACCCTCAGTGATGATATTTACCTTGGGGCAAAGCCCCTTGGGAAATATCATCACTTTGGGTAATATTTCGCCAAATCCCCCTCGCTCCAGGTCTATAAATGATAAATGTTAACCGGTGCTGCTGGGAGTGGAATATAGGCTCTGTTTGGAGTCTCGATGTGGTGCTTGCACCATGCATCAACACAAAGCTTGTATTGGCTGGAATTGAACCGAAAACCTCTTCATCATCAATAATTGATTTGTCTTCAAGCATAACCTTAATTTCCTCAGGTTTACATTTTAAAGACAGTTTTGTTTGTCCTAAAAACCAAGTAAATAATAAAATAAATTTACACACAGTTATATATACTTTTATATAACTTCTTATTTTAAAAGCCACATGGTTTCTAGAACGTTCCTAACCTTGTAATTATTAAAATGTATTAAAGATGGAGTACACTTTGCACTATAGAAACTTACACTAGAATTGCGCACTTACGTGCCAAACACTGTGAATAATTAATTAGTGAGCTTTTTAAATTGGCAACAATCTAACTTGAATAGACTATGAGAGATGAATTGAGCTTTTGATAAATGTGTGCATGAATGTATGTTGTTTATATTTGTTATTTTTTGGGTTTGAGTTTGACAAAATTTGCTATTTTGGTAATTTTGTACCTTTAAAAATAATAAAAAATAACCTTTATCTTTCAATTCTGCAAAGTACTGGCTGATACACAATACTTTTGACCTTTTACATCTTTAACTTTGAATATAGAATGCCATATTTGCCGACAAAACTTTATATGTCACTACAGAAACAAATCAAAACCTTTGTATAAATACACTTATAGTTATAAATATAAACCAGGACTGTGCCACATTAAATTTTTCGTGTTATAAATGGCTTGAAAGCTAGCAGTTTTTTTCACCTCAATCATATTTATATGATCTATATCAAGGTGTTGATTTCCTTTTATACAGTACAAAGTTATTTTAATATTCCATGCTTCTGCAAGGTGTAAACATTTAAATATTATAAATAACATAATAATAATATTATTATTTTATTTGTTCATTTGAATATTTAACCCATTAAGCTTCAGAACTTTCCCATTGATGAGTAAAATCCTCTGGCATTAGACAAATAAAAAAATCCAATCAATCCAATATCGCGCAGTTTCAAACATTTTAGCCAATTATCAAAACGATTTTTATCATGACATTGGATGCATATTTCACGTTTCAATGACTTTGCAGTTTTGAAGCGTTCTTGCTTTATAACTTCACTTAAGTGCTGCGTGTCGTTATGTAAAGTTGATTGCTTGATTTCTGAGGTTTCACTTTCCATAACTGAGTCTTGTAAACTCATATTTATGACAAGAAACCCTTGTAAATGTTGTAAAAAGCTAACCGGCAGCAGTACAAAATTTTTGTCACGTTGCTGCCATGATTTCCTTATACATTACATGATGGTAATGTTATCTCCACCAAAACTCTCAGGAGCCTGCTATACAATTGACAATTTAAATACCGATCTAAATCGCCCTGACAAAAAAAGTCTATAGGTGGCCTATAGGTTCCTATAGAGAATGTTCCAATTCCCTATAGGAGCCTTTAGGCACCTATAGAGCTCTATAGGCTTATAGGCATCCCTATAGGTCACCTATAGAAAATGTTCCAATTGCCTATAAAAACCTATAGGTTTCTTATAGAAACCTGTAGGTTGGCCTATAGGCCAGGCCTATAGACTTTTTTTGTTAGGGCGTGAATTTTCGATTTTTTTGAAAACTGTGTGGAGCCATCTTAAATAATTATCATCATATAATTTTATGTTACAATGTGCTATTTTTGAAGGTCTTTTCAATAAAGTTAACGTTTAAATATACCTACAGGTTTTCAACAAAATTAATTATCTGTTTAAATATACCAAAAATTGTTGCATAAAAATGGCAATTTCCATACAACCTACTTTTACGCAAACGTGAATCACAATTGCAACTTTCATGCTTAATTTTGTCTGTTATCTGGGCGGTATACGTATAAAACTTAGTGTGCGGAAATTGTCATACCATAGCGCCAATTTTAGGTATTTAAACAGATAACTGCATTGAAATGTCCTTCAAAACAGTACATTTTTAAGGATTCTTCAGTCAGGGTGGGGTAAAATATATTCCCAAAGGGCCCATTCTCTCCTTGTCCTTCCCCAGGATAGTATACGATCGCCGAAGGTGTGAGCCGAGTACCATAGGCTTGAGTTAGCTAGGTAGAGATGGTTTTAAAATTTGGGTTCTCTGAAATAGCATTTCGTGCATTCTGAAGACACATTTTTTAAACCAAAATTTTAATGGTGAAATTTGTAATAAATTGCATGCTAAACATTCAAACACAGCATAAGTTCCACAGTTAAGTATGCTCACCAACAAATTTAGTTTTTTAAACTTCTTTTCAATGTTAAACTCATTTACTCAATTATACAAGTCCTAGCGACCTGGTTTTGGAGCAATAGACAATTTTTTTCAGTTGTGGGGCAGAGGATGGGGCCCAGTGGGACAAACGCCCACCAGTCCACAGTATTAAAAAATGCCTTGCTTCAAAAATAGCACATTACAGTCATGGCATAAAATTAGATTACAACACGACTGGATAACAGTCTCAGAAAATCATGAAAGTGTCAATTGCTGTCGCGTTAGCGGGAATTTAAGCGGGTATATTTAAACCGATAACTGCATTGAAAAGCCCTTGAAAAACAGCACATTATAGTGGCATAAAATTAAATTACTACATACCCAGATAACAGAGAAAATTAGGCATGAAAGTTGCAAAGATTATGATTTTAATTCTGCATGAAAAATACATTTTACCCTCTCATCGAACCGCATTTTACCCCCCCCCCCACATCTGTCCGTTTTTTACTGTCTCATCCATCTGTCCGTCTGCCAATTATCCGTCCGCATTCGCGTTTTATTCTAACCCGTTTGGAACATTTAAATAAAAGCGTAATATAATATCACTTTTACTTTAGCTTTTAAATAATATTTTCATTGTCTATACGATGCCCAACACCGTACGCACGACCCACCCACCCACGCCATTTAGCCATCCTCGACAATTTCTATTATAGACTAATTTTACAACTAGGCAAGGAAATGGAAATACATCACACTACAGCTAGAAAGAGCACACTAAATTGAGTAAAATTGCAAAGTTTGGGTGCGAAATGTTGTAAAATGCGGAAAATATAGCATTGCAAATTTTGAGCATACTTTTGTATTGTGTGCGGAAATTGTTACCACATTTGGGCCAAATTAAAATGGTAGCGATTTTCGCACGCAAACAAAAGTATACGAAATTTGAAAATTTTGTAATGCTATATTTTCCGCATTTTACAACACTTAATTCGCAACCAAACTTCTTTTTCATATGCTCTTTCTAGCTGTAGTGATTTATTTCCATCTTCTTGCTCCTTGCCTAGTTTTAACATTAGTCTATAATAGGAATTGTCTATTGTGTTACACTATTCTCTGCAACCCGCGAACAGGCATGTTCTTTAGATGCAGCTACGACCTGTGACCTGCGACCTGTGTTTTAGACCCACCGAACCAAAACAGCGTATTTTTACAAATATAAATCACAAAATTCGATTTAACTGCACAATGATTACTCACTGTTATCCTGTTTTTAATAATGCAAGATGGTTTTTACTTTGTTTTGTGTACCCCTACTGTGGATTAAACTGAACAAAAGGTCAGTATAAATACACATAGAGCTAGAATACTTGCTGTTGCTTTATTAAACATCTTGGAAATACTAAACATTTCCATAGGTCGCAAACTATAAAACACATCACAAACGAAGTTACCGCAAACAGGCTACCCACAAAAATTAATTAACTTACTGTTTAAAAAACAGCACCTTGTTAAATTTGTAGACTGTTAAATGAGAATAGCAAGTTGCCTCTTACAAGTACAACTGGGTTAAGCCTGCATCTCAGCCTCATACACAGGCACAAAATAACTAAAAATAGGCACACTACATTGTTTTTATATAGATCATGAAAATGATACCAGTTGAGATACCTTTCACATACAACACTATCTTGACAAGTCTTTATTGCTTTCGTACAACCCGGACAGATCCAGGAGATTTTTCTCTTTTTAATGAGGGTTTCAAAAACAACCATCCTTCATCAGAAAAATACTTATCAATTCGATTACCGTCAACCACACATTCATCTCTTGCCAAGTCTGGATTTACTTGGATTTTATGCTTCTTAATATTTACACCACTAAGCGCATGTTTTACAACTAAAGGGGTGACAAAACATTCCAAAAGAAGCCTATCTTTTTCTTCCTGTTTCAGCTTTGAAAACGATTCCAACTTGTTGCTTTCTGTTTTCCTTTTCTTTGCTGTAGGCAGTCCAATAACTATCAATCCGGCTCCTTTTGGCTGTCCTTGTTTCATCATTTTTCGAGGCATCTTGATGTCCACAAACCCCTGATGCATGTTCTTTATTCCCAATTTCACGTTTTTGTTCGTTATCCACTTTGGCTTTGTTGCTGTCTTGATTTTTTGTTGTAGGAATTATATTTTCTTTTCTGCTTTTCAATGCTTTCCTGGAGTCCTGCTGTTGACAGTGTTGTGTTTCACTGCTTCTTTCTAGGAGCAACTTTGGCTTTGCCACTTGTTGAAGTTGTTTTGCTTTCTTTGTCAGTCAAAGCCTTGTCGTTTTCAGTGAACAACTCATCGATTTTTTCAGAAACATTTCTGGGAATACTATGCTGGCTTGCACTTACCATATGAAACGGTTTCCCTGTTTGCCATGATTCAAGCAATGCTTTCATCTGCATCATATGCTCGTCAAAGGTCTTCATTCCTCCTTCACTTGCAACAGATGCCAATGCTTTAGCCGCCTTTAAGGCCTTCTTGTTTCTGTCAAGATCTTTCTTTGAGGTAGCTCATCTTGGATATTAATAAAGCAATCCTCTGTTTGATCACTTTCTATTGCTGTGTTGAGTTCTGTCATTACACCATTGTTTGCATACAAGTTCTTTCACTGGTCTACAATAAGTGACTCATCAAAATGACTCATGCCCAACAGCATTCTGACTTTAAAAAATACTGGCAAGGTAAGCCCAGGTTGAGGTTGATGGAGTAATCACATTTGTTTGATCGTGTTTGGTAACCAGAAAGGTGTTATCTGATATTCTTTCTTCTATTCTAACCTTGTCAGAAAATTCTGCTTGGTCTTGTATATGTTTAAATGTGTATGGTGTGATGTAATCACCATATTGCTGTAGATTATCCTCGATTGACATTAGCAAAGTTGGACGGCGAGCACAAGCGATAAGCCTGTGATGTTTTCGCTCAGTAACCCTCAAGGACTGCGAAAAACTCAGTATAAAAAACTGCAGAAGACTACCATATTTTGAATAAACACTCTTAATCTTGCTGTTCATACTTTTGAGATGGTTATTCGTTGTCTCGACTAAGTTGAAGGCAGTATCTTTAAAGCAAGCTACCTATTGCTCTTTAATTGGATCCCAATTCTCAAGAAAGTACAGTAGGTCACAACAGAGTCAATTTTTGTACATTTTAACAAATCTAGATTAAGCTGATATTCCTCAGATGACCTGGAGTAACTGATTTTTGTTAAAATTTCTAGGCATCTATTTCTCTCACCTGACGTAATGCCCCTTTTCTCCATTGTGATCTATCTATTAAATGTTCTTTATGTATGAAATAGACAAATTTGAATGATTACACCAGGAAAACATTTGCTGAAGACGTTTCTTTCAGTAAAATCCTCATCAGATATCACAACCTTTGTCTTCTCCGATGCTGAATATGCTTTTTGAAACATTCTACTGCAGATTCGGTGGTAATTTCTGTTTCATCAGCAACTATGAATAGTCTAACAATCTCATTCAAGCCATGGCCATCGACGGCTAAGAGAACATAGACTGGTATTTTTAAATCCAATAACTTGTAGGTTACATCAACCATTAAAAGCTATAGCAACATTGCAAACACGGTCTTCATCTTTTCAACTTGGAAAAATAGGCACTTAAACTTGTTACTCTTGTCCACGGTAACTTCGACTGTGGAGTTCGAATCTTTTTTCAAAAAAGTAACAACAGCATCTAGTTCATTGCTATTATGCTCCTTTCTGGTTTGAGCTTGCAAGTTTTGAATGTCTTTCATGGTTATAGGGGCCAGATGAGAATTCAAACTTTTGTTGGATAAGTTTGTTGTTTGCTTTTATGCAAATTGCTCCTTTTATTTCTTCCTTAAGTGGTTGAATAATTCACACGAAATTTGATGGTTGTGCTCATCCGTGTACCTTGCTAACCTCTAAAGCTTATCCGTCCAATGAAGGCATCAGGTAAATTTCAAACAGGCAGCACTGGTGAAACGAACTTGACAAGAGACCTTACCACCAAATTTGCAGGAGAGTTTAAGTGAACAAAACTTTAAACTTTTGTTGGCTGATTCGACCCTTTTGGGAACTCTTTTACTAGCGGCAATGTTCTGGTATCTCCTCTTCCAGAGCTGACGGTAGTGTTGAGATTCATATTGTGAAATTGCTCCTTCCAATTCATTTAGGCTGCTGAACTTTTCTCCCATTGTAAACGTACATGGCTTTTTTAGGTCTTTATGTTTGTTAGGAAAATGAGGAATTGTTGTAGAATCTTGAAATATTTCAGAAGCAGGCTGACTTGTGGTGGAATCTTGGAGGGAAGATTACAAGTTGGCAAAGTATTCCATTCTTCCAGACGTCTGGTTCTTTTTGGGCAACGACAGCTAAAATTACTACAATGGCGCTGCATACATTGCCACACGTTTGGAGGGGGAAGTTCTTTAAACATTTAGATTAACAGTTGTGATGGTACCATATGTTGATGATGGAAAATGACATGTAAAAACTTGTTGTAGGGCATTCCCGGTAAGAAATGCTGTCAATCGCTTCTAACACTCAGTTAATTTCATTCTTTAAGTTGGTAGTAGGATTCCATCCAAGGGTGTCACAATAGAACCATGTATTGGATACCAAATCTACATAAGTTTGGCTGTCATACCAAATTTTTTTGTGCCCATCTAAAAATCTTTTGATGATGGATAAACCTGATGATAAATTTAGGGGGAGGGCTACCATTTTTTTAGCCCTTCTGAACAACATTTTTCACAAAGGCAAAGGGCACTTTGCCACTGCAAAGGGCACTTTGACACTGGAGAGTGGGCATTTTTTGTGTTTTCTCAAGGAAAAATAATTGGAATCATTAAAAAATGCAATCTGAACAACATTTTTTTACGAAGGCAAAGTGCACTTTTTGTGTTTTCTGAAAACTCGGGGGCTTTGGCCCCCCGGTTCTTACGTCCCTGTGCCTATCCCATTTTGTTCTTTCGCTTGAGCAGAAACTTCACACAGCTTGTGTACATTTAATAGAGTCTGCAACGATTTTCATGAAATATTCCCAGGTCGCACAACACTGCAGGATATGCTCCCAATCTAATGGTTACAATCATTGCACGACAGGTCAATTCAGAAGGTATGGTAGCAGGCTTTTAGCCAGAAGGGCGTCCAGGTGTCCTGGGATGCCCCTAGAACAAAAAATGGACTCCTTTAGAGAACCAAATTGTGGGGAAAAGGGAAATTATTTTCATTGATTTCCCTAAGTATATTAATATATTATAAACGAAATAGCTTCAATTCTCATCATTATACATTTGACATTTTGTTCAATTTCATGGTGTACCTGGCTGAATTAAAATGTTATAGCAGTTAAGTAAAGAAGCATAGAGGCACAAACTCACAAAGCCAAGTGTGTTTGAGCCACAGATGTATATATGTATGTCATATATGTGGCATTAAATTTCACTAATATGTATACTGTAATTTGTAATGGTCTGCAAATGAGGCAGAAAGAAAACCCCTCACACTACTATGGAAACATGACTGCAAGGCCAGTGAGAGGGAGTGGGGGGAAATACCCAGGGTCCTGGAGACCCCAAGGGGACCCCTGTTAATGGCTCTTGCTGCCCATGCATGATTATGTGCATGGTACCATACCACTGGTTTCAATTTTTGTGCTAACCCATTCACAGACAAGACTATATCTCCCCTGACAAAAGAAATTGTCTCCGGGGGGGGGGGGGGGCAT